AGAATCGGAAACAGGTTCCAAGCTCCGAGCCATCAGCCCAGAGCCCGACGCGGGGCTCGAACTCCCGGACCGCGAGATCGTGACCTGGCTGAAGTCGGACGCTCAACCGACTGCGCCACCCAGGCGCCCCTTAGCCTTGGTTTTTAAAGGCCTTCTTGGGGCGCCTGAGTGGCTCAGTCGGCTAAGCGTGGGACTCTTGATTTCAGCTCAGGTCATGATGTCACATTTGGCGAGTTCACGCCCCAAGTCAGGCTCTGTCATGACAGCGCTGATCCTGCTTGGGATTCTCTGTCTCCCTCTCTCTATGCCCCTCCCCTGCTTGCTTTGTCTCTCCCTCTCTTCCAAAATAAAACTTTAAAAAGTTTTAAAGTCATTCTTTACTTATTATACACACATATCTGTTGATCTGAAAAATAAAAGTTACTTGCCAGCAAAAAAAATGGATTTATTTGGGAATAGCAGAGAGTTGCAATCTGGGACCACCAAACTATGGTAAAACCACCGCCCGTCCAACAAGCAAAACAGAGAAACATTTTACGGGGAAGGTGTAGGAAGTTGGGAGGGGCTGTTTTGAAGAAAAGTCCCTCGGAGGAAAGCGGGAGTTCTGGGTGGTGAGGGTTCTCGCTGGTGACCTGCAGGAGTGGTTGTTTCTTGCAGGAGACGCGGGGAACAGCCTCCCTGTCCCGGGGCCTGTCACCGAGGGTTCTCTCCAGCTGAGATGTGGGGTCGGTCTGGAAGGGACACCGGCGGACGCGGAGAGGTGTGCTGGGAGAGCTCCCCCTGCTGGCCGCCTTGCTCCACGTCAGTGAGGTGGCCTTGTGTTAATTTTCACGTTTCCCCCTTTTGATCAAGATTGTTTTTCTGATCACTGATCAGGTTTTCCAAATTCAGTGCCCTTTGTCTCTTGGCTCCAGGAAGGCCCTTTTCTGGGTGTCATATCCCACGTTGGAGGGAAATTGTACAGATTGGAAACCTACTGAGGCAATTTGGGTAACAAGGTGGGTCGGGAGGGAGAAACTCTGGGCGCCTCCCTTCTGTTGTCCACATTTGTCAAGGTTCTCAGCGCTGGAGATCATCCCCTTATTGTATGTCATTTTTACATAGGTGTGATGGGCAACAAAATCAAAATAATTATACAAAACAAAAGTAGTTACATGACAATTCCAAATGGTGTGATGGTCCTAAACCAGGACTCCCGGGCGTTAGAGTAGCCAACTGAAATATCGATTGGCACTCATTCCGACTTAGGGCAGAAGATTCTCATGAAGGCCAAGCCGGAGTCGCGTATACCTCCTGGAAGCTTCTGCCTGAAGCTACTGTGAAGGCTGACTAGTGATCACTGCCAGCACGCACTGAAAGGATTAACCGTCTAAGACGTTCTAAAGCAGTGTTGTTGGGGCGCCTGGGTGGCTCAGTCGGTTAAGCGTCCGACTTCGGCTCAGGTCATGATCTCGCGGTCCGTGGGTTCAAGCCCCGCGTCGGGCTCTGTGCTGACAGCTCAGAGCCCGAGGCCTGTTTCCGATTCTGTGTCTCCCTCTTTCTCTGACCCTTCCCTGTTCATGCTCTGTCTCTCTCTGTCTCAAAAATAAGTAAACGTTAAAAAAAATAAATAAAGCAGTGTTGTTATCTCAGAAGAGCTGCTTTGAACCAAATCTGCTTTTGGGTAATACAGCCATGGTCAGAGACCATGAATTTGGATAAAAATTCAAAGTCAGTTAAGAGTTCAGATGAAAGAAGACTTTTGTGAATTCTGAACCTTCAAACCCGTTGAAGAGAACAAGTGAAAATTAACGCGCCCCAGGATCCTCATGAGGCTGTTTCTGCAGAGGCACAATCAAGAGAAGAGGTTCCAGCCCTTGCGAAAGGGCTTGGAAGAAGCAGACAGGGACACTGTCTTCCTACAAAAGAGAGAAGCAACTGTGAGAAGAAGGTCCACTGGCCTGGTCCAGACCTCATGGGAAAGCTTGGCCAGATGTCGTCGGCGTCAGTTCCGGGAAGCCCGTACCTTCAGGCCACACCAGATGGCGGGCAGGGCCAGTCAGGCGTCGTCTTTGCACGTGTCCCGTGGATCCGAGAGTCTGTTCCCTGGACTGTGGCCGCACTTGCCGGCGAGGTTGAAGAGAGTCTTTCTGGAGGCATCTTTTCCGACAGACGAAGTCTCCGGGTTGCCAGGGGTGATGCAGGACGGCGTGTCCCGGGAGCACGCCGCGCAAAGCTTGCTCTACCAAACCATGGTTATTTT